TGATATCCTGAAACTGGTAAATACTAGTGTTAATCAATCTATGAGCAAGTTTGCCAGTATATTGAATCTCACCCATAGAATAGAGCAGTCTGAGAGCAAAACGCAATCATTGATGACGAATAGGCCTCAGAGAGGTGGATATCAAGAAGGCTCCATGATGTATAGTAATGCATATAGACCTAATGAGTGTAACAGGTTTCGTAGTACATCGTCAACAGATAAGTTGCAAGCTGCAAAAGAAACACGGTTGTGTTTTACACGTTTGCAAGAAGTGCATACAGAAGTGAACTGTGAACCAGTGAGCAAGTTCAGTGATAAGCTCAATGTAAACTCCAGGTCTGACTCCGAATTTTGTGACGATAACGGTGTTGTGAAGAAGTCTGTAGTTGCAACTGGTAAGCCATTGTTGAATAGAGTGTCACAGAATAGAGTTGCTGCTTCAGAGTGCAGTTCTGACCCTACAAGTTTACAAGGTATTACTAGTCAGAGTGAAGTTATAAAACCTTTTAGGATTTGCGAGGAGGAACCAAAATTGTCTACTTCTGTTATTAAAGAGTTTGAAAATGATGAAGTTGACGGTAAAGTGAATATTCGTGATAATGATCATGATACTTCACATTTGTCTTTGGTTGATCATTATGAGATGAGGGATATGCCTACTACTGCTGAGCTGAACAAAGTTTCTGTACAACTTGAACATGAAGTGGAAATGAATGCAGATTCAGTTGCAGAAGACATGCATACTTGTCAGACCGTCAGTGTGATTGATCAGCATGTAGCCCACCTATCATCAGATGCTAGTGCTAAACCTGAGCTGATAGTAAAAGACAGCAGTGGTGGTGGTCTTGCAGGTAGACAAACTTCTGAAAACCGAACAACAACAGCTTTTGATCCACCGCTAACTTCATCAACTGATATGAATCAGTCGTCGTTGGTGCTGTCATCCACAATGAAACAGACACCCATCATCTCAAGTATCTTGTGCAATGACTATGCTAGTATCAGTTCGTTTTGAAAGGACGAATATCAATGGTCAGTTTAGTGTGGATATGGCAAGTGTAAAGGAGAGAGTAATTGTTAAATTGACTTTCACGAATAAAGGCATTTCTTGTTTCAAGTTACTATTTGAATGTTATTATCTTTGGTGTAAATTACTCTGTTTCTATACTTGGTTGATGAGATATGTCGTGTGTTATTCGGGCATCTATATTCTAAGAGACAATGACATAGGCGTGTTACCGTTCAGATTCGAGGATTAGATGATAGAAGGAAGTCAGCAAATGAACTCTGCGACGATTTTCCAACCTAGGGCGTCAACCTGAGAAGGGTTGTAGGCGTACTGCTGTAAGTCCTACAGTTCTTCAAAGGGTAGCGCATCAATGAGCAGTCCAATGTGCTTGCTGTATGATCTTGTGCATGTGTTCATATTGTATATACTGAATTGATATCATCTGTCATCTAGCTGTTGGTAATTCTGTTTGTGTCCCGCCGACTTCCACTTGGATCATCAACCTGAGAAGGAATGTAGGCGTACTGCTGTAAGTCCTACAGTTCTTCAAGGGTAGGTTGTCGTGCCAGAATCCACAACATTTGATGTGTTGATTGTACTTATGTTTGTGTTAAATAATTGTGTGAGTTCCAATTGATGTAATTGTTGGTTAATCTTGTTTGTGTCCGGACATTCCACAACTTACAATCGTCAACGTGAGAAGGGTTGCAAGTGTACTGGTGTAAGTCCTGTGATTCTTCAAAGGAATTCCATTGAGACACGATCTGCGAGTTTGTGTGTACTATTTGTATATACGTGTGGTGTGTCCTATCAATTGGTGTTTTTGGATCCATTGTGTTTACTCGTTGTTTTCGTATCTTGTTGTTATTACATAATTTTGTTAAAATTTTTGTCGTGATTACTTCTGAAGTTGTTTCTTGTCTTCTACATCCATGAATGAATTGATTGATGTTAAGGACAGCAGATGGGTCGTATACGCCGGGGAGGCTATGCTTTGCTGAGAATGAAATGCACACGGAGATAATTGTTAGCTGCGGTCCAACACGCCAGGGAGAAAGAGTGTAAACGACTGAGGCTTGCATACGTCACCGTTACTAGAACTGAGGCAGAGTGAGTGACAAGCGATTGCAGTGGTAATTGGTAGTGAGTAGATAAGAGGATGTGCGTAGAGTATCGTGAGGTGCTGCTATGGTCACGTTGCATTCTGCAAGAGTCATTCTAGCAAGTGGCGATTGTGTTGCAAGATGTCAAGAGGGGGTCTCTCTCTGGAGGCGCAGATCGTCAGCGATGTGTGAGATTGTGCTGTGAGTATGCTTGTGGTGTGTTGGCTTTTCTGTTTGTTTTCCATTTCAGCTCTGTCCGTGTGACCCAGGTTCTCGCAATGGCATCCAAGTCAACGTGTATTGGTCGTGAAGGAAAAAAGGGTTGGATCCCTTTTTTGCCGGGGAGTGTCAATGTAGTTGAAGATTGAACGATCAATTCTTGGTTGTTTGCTCAAAATCAACTTCCCCAATTTTCGCGGAGGCATCAGTAAGACAGTCATCGTCTCATGAGTGAGGATATAGGCCGACACCAGGTGTTATCGCGCAATGCCATCGGTTACCGCGCTCACGTCAACAGACGTTATAATCACCTATTTTTTTGGAAATAGATTATATTTGACTAGTTTTAGACTTATGTAGCCGGATGGCAGTATTTTGCTGTATTTTGTTCTTAGTAGAGCGTAAAATTGTATATTATAGCTCGGACGAATTATCAATGAAGAAGTCATCCTTTTTAAGAAAGTTCGCATAGAAAGACTATTATTTGCATTATAGTGCGTTGAGGGTTTGTTTATTTTCCAGTTGTTTCAGATCTTAAGGTTGTAAATATACTGCAGTCAATGGCTGTTGTCATTCCAGTGAATCTATGAGAATCTGGCCTATGAAAGATAAATAGCATGCAGACATAGGTTAGATGTGTGCTTTGAACATGTTAAACTTTTCTGTTATCATCCGGGATGACTGAAATATTCCATAACACATTGACGACATTATGCGATGAATGAGACAGGCTGCTGAATTTCCTGGTTATTATATCTATTTAGATGAAGTTCCTAGTTAAAAGTGCTTGGGCGAAGATGTGAAAATAGTTTAATTGACATTTGCACATGGAATTTCACAAGGCCTTAATTGCTCAGTGCATGAAATGGCATCAGAGTATATTGACATCAGTGTTCATTGTGTCTGGAAGAATAGTATAAATAGTCCTTCTCAAATGTCAGAGTACTTAAAATTAGTACCAGATTTATGTCGATTAGTAGCTGGCGGCTGTGTCGTACAACTACTACACCTGTTACATAGGTTATATCAATCTTAAAAATTATTTTGCTTCACATCACTAAGATATTGTGAGATCCTTAATGACTTAATTGTGGCTATGAAAGATGTGGAAGATGCACTTATGGCTCATATATTTAACGCAGTTATTATTACACAAGTTATCTGTAAGCAACTTGTGATGTTCTGAATACTGCAAACTGTTGATAAGAAACTGCATTAAAGGAAAAAATGCTGAACAGCTAGAAAATACTACTGCAGTTTCGTTGGTTGTTACCTTTAGCATTTGTAACTCATTATTCCAAAGCTGCGATTGACGCCAAACCATCCATGGTACCCCACAGGCCCTATTGAAATTTGTGAGACATCTTACATGTCAGGTTGTCTTCCATATTATAAGGTTGCAGATCTTTCAATTTACCTCTCACTGAAGTATCACTTATCTACTTCACTATGGTCTTTTCATTTGTGCACTATTACACTGCATTTTATGTTAACTGGATATGCCTTTATGCTTACAGTCTATTTGCTTTTATTAGAAACACAACAACAGCAGTGTTGGAACAAAGCTGTATTTTCATAGAAAACATCATATTTTCTATCCTTACACCAATATGGTTGGCATTAAACATTGCAGATGTATACTCACATTCCAACGACATAGCACTTAGCCAAATGTACGGTGTTCATTATTAAGGGTTTACAATTTAACTCTTATAATTCATGATACTTCACGATTGCAGTTTATAACATAACTTATTGCGCCTGTAGAAATGACATGCATTCATTGTAAACATTGGTTTAAACGAAATTTGAAATTATTACTATATGCTTGCTGCTATCCTTTAGAAGAGGAATAATGTGTGTTGCAGTGAAAACCCCAGAATAATGATGTCATTACCAAAGAATGAGAAAGGAGAATAAACCATTTTCAGCAAAGGTAGGCAGATATAAATCGTTTACCTTTAATATTACTTCTTCCTTACTTCAGCTATTTAAAAAACACTTTGTTTACTTATTTGTAGATATCTGGTAACGTCAATCACCCCAGTCACAGAGATTCGACATTGCACAAATTATTCCGACAATCGACTGCGTAAACACATTTGCTTGTTATTATTTTTTCATTAAATACATTTAATATCCTGCTTACCAGACCTTTCTTATTATATCTGAGTTTAGATGTATTTGTCATGATGACTAGGTGCAGACATGACTTATTAATAAGAACTGACGAAGTAATTGGTGGCATATTTTAGTGTAAGCTAAATCTAAATACGATTGTTAAAGCTCAACGAATTCAATAATTCGTCTGGTGTAGAGTTGAATTTACGCTACATGTCAACAGCCTTAGTCATATGGATTGACATCACGCTTTAAGTGAAACATTAGTAATGCAATACTTTCGAATACACGTAACCGTATAAGAACAGGGACTCGAATGCAGTGCCTAAGGTATGCCTACTATTGTCCCTAAAGACTTGTATATGACTATGATACTTATGCACGTTAGCTAACTGAAATACTTATAATTTAACACGTATGCTGACCGACATCGTTCCTACACAATTACACTTACGTATTGTTAGTAGTGAAAGTCCTAGAGAGCACCGGTCTAGCATGCCGTGCTCACAAAGTGAACACATGAATTGAAAGACAACAAAATTTACATGAAAATTTTATTTTCATTATGACAAAAATTTAGTTTATTTACATATTAAGAACACGATTGATTCCTGCGATTACTCCGTCTGCATAAGCATTGGCAAACACTTCTCCAAATTTGTCATTAATTCTGTCCATACCCGCATTGATAATCTTCTTTTTGGTATCGTATATGTTACTTCGATTTCGAGGGATAACTGCTGACGTACTTTGAGATGCGAACAAGTTGCGTGACCACGTCCATTGTTTACAATTATGCATCACATGGTTAACTACAAAAGGTGGAACAAAAAAAGTTAAGATAACTATGAACTGATTATTACATTACATTATACATTAAAAACGTAGTCATAAAAACGCAAATATACCTGTGAAATACGGCTTTCTTAAGTGGACCAAAAGCAAGTGTCGGCAGGGGTACCGACAGGTCTGAAATGTAAAGCACGTGCAGGTGCAAGCACTCAGATCAACCTGCACTGTTTTCCCATTTTCTTTGAAAAATACATAATCAACGGATTCGAACTCAACAGTAGCCCATCGTCGCAATTGGTATTCACGTATTACCTTCCTCGCGGCGTATGGTGTAAGCAACCGTATAATTGGGATTAAACTTTGTGAACAGGGATACGTGAAGCATCGTGATTGAGCAATATTCGCCTCCTGCTGTATTATTGAAAAACTTCGTTTATGCCATTTATACACCTTTAGCATACTTTTATGCAGACTATCAGATCTTTGCAAAAACCGTTTCATCTGCTTGTGGGAACTCTCGACACGATTATTTGTATCGTTCCCAAAAGTCAGCACGTTATCTCTGAAACAGGCCGCCCACAATTCTCGTCGATGCATCCAACGACGTTGTAGATATTGACTGACATTAGCGTCCAATCTGCTAATAACTCTGAAGTAGAAATTAAGTCTGCAAAATGAGAACAATAGAGGCATTACTCTGATCTCCTTTTACACTGCACTAGACGGCATAAGTAGTTCTTCACAATGGGATTTCTTGTCTACGAATAAAATGTAAAGTATGAAAAAAAAAAAAAAAAAAAAAAAAAAAAAAAAAAAAAAAAAAAAAAAAAAAAAAAAAAAAAAAAAAAAAAAAAAAAAAAAAAAAAAAAAAAAAAAAAAAAAAAAAAAAAAAAAAAAAAAAAAAAAAAAAAAAAAAAAAAAAAAAAAAAAAAAAAAAAAAAAAAAAAAAAAAAAAAAAAAAAAAAAAAAAAAAAAAAAAAAAAAAAAAAAAAAAAAAAAAAAAAAAAAAAAAAAAAAAAAAAAAAAAAAAAAAAAAAAAAAAAAAAAAAAAAAAAAAAAAAAAAAAAAAAAAAATTGGTAAACTTACTTCCCCTTATTCGTATTATACGTCGAGTCGATACCAACAACTTCAGGGAACTGTTTATACAATTCCATTTGCTCATAAGTTGCAAAACAAATTCTTGTTAGTGAATTCCTGATCGGTTCATCGGAATAATACTCCATTAACTTCCCACGGGATTTTAGGAATTCAAAAATGTCACGACGACTCGAAATACCTTAAGTATGTAACAAGTACGTCAACGTTACCTTTATTCACTGCGGCTTTCATATTTTTAACGTCAATGCGAGTTATATCCTTGTTGTACTTCTCCTTAACATGCATTATTATTTCATCGGATGAGTGGGATTGCTGAAGAAGTGGTTCAATATTTTCTTTCTCTTCAACTGTTAGTCGTCTATACCATGGGTCATTCTGCATGTACACCCTGCTGCATGGATGGTTATGCACCATATTGTGGGAAGCAATTATGTATTCACTATGATGCAAAACCACGCGAAATGAAGACGAGCAATTGCAACATTTAGACCTGCAATATTCATGAAACCATATTACACTTCTTCTTACGACTTGTTTTTCAATTTCAATCCACGTCTTGTACGATTCACTCCAAAAGTGCATTTAAAACCAACATAAGCGTACTTAAACCTGGCATCCGGCATCGTTTTGCTGCAATTATGAACATAGTGAGTGTAGGATAACTACACTGTTAGCATTATATGACTTCCTCACTTTTTGAAATTCTGCTAATGACTTCTCAAATTCATCCCAGCTGAAGAAACGCTTTCCAAGTATGTATTCAGCAAAAATTCCACTTGAATCTGTGCTCCTGTCACTCGAATTGACTACCTGCAACGGACTAAAATAAAGTTATCAATTAGGATCCATCTATGTCACAACTATTCCAACATAAATCGTAAAAAAACAACATTGAAATACAGGGATGATCGATAACCATCAAGAAAATGCCGCACGTATAACCTAAATTACAGAAAAACACAAGAACCCACCGGTTCGTTGACATCGCAAGCAACCAATAGACCAAACAACGAATTGTACGACAAATAATGCCTAGTACATGCACAAACAAAGAAAAACAAAGCGTTACAATAGTTTCATACACGTTTACAGTAATCAAATATGCTGGCAAACGACGCAAACACAACCACGCAAATACAGCACCCGACAGCACGCACCCAAGGACAATTCAAACTCCGATTGACCGCCACCATTCTAGCCAATGAAAGACGAAAAAAAATTAGTCGCGGAAAATATAACACGAGACAACGTATATACTCACCCCGTCTCATCGGTTGCTGTTCAGAAAGAAGAGTGAAACATCGTCAGAAGTAATACAGAGATTTATAATAATAATAATAATGTATATTCTCATATAAACATATAAATTTACATGAAAATGCATGCCATTTTTACAGGCACGATCAAGTATGATATAATATCAAATCGTAGATTGTCTACAAGTTAATAATGTTTCAACAGTTAAATATTTGATATATATATAAATACACATTGTCTGAACTAGGCTGTATAGTTATTGAATTGTACAATTGTCCTCCAGGTTGAGCGGGAAAATCGACTTCGTTTCGTTTTCATCCCGTGGTTGTCGGCATACGATAACCAACCAATATTGAGGTAAGTACAACGTTTACAAGGGATTGAAAGCTGTTTTAGAAAAGTAAAAGTGCTGAGGTGAATCATTAAATTGTAATGAAATAGGTAAGTGCAAGTATCATTAATAAATGCATTAAAAAAGAAAACTCCCTAGGCTGACAACGTTCATTTGCAATGTATAATGCAACACATATACCTCGTACTATCATGATGTCCAATTTTGGTTTTAATACATTTATCCTCAGTTGTGCCAGTTGTTTTTGTTTTATACCTTTTTGTGCATTTAATGTACAACCGTACCCTTCAGAGAGTAGGAATATAATAAGTCATAAAGAGCTGTAAAATGTTAGGTTTAATGGAATATAATGAGGATCAAGTAAAGACGTTATTGGAAAATGAATGAGATAAGACATTGTGAAGTGGTATTTAAAGATCAGTCAATGGACAGCAAGTTAGTTTATAAGATGCCCCATAAAACTGTGCACATCCCACATGGTCGCATCTCAACAATAGGCTGGGCGAATGGTATATATTTAAAGGTAGAAGCATGATCTGTCAAGGCGTTCATTATTATCTTTTTCAAGATAAAGATCTAAGCCCTCATAAAAATCAGAAATATCTCGAGCCTTTAATTTGTGTATTGCTGTTCCTGCAGAATGGGGCGATTCACCTTAGTGACCCCCACCATATCTACTGATCAGCTAACGCCACCCTCCCTCCTTTTTTGATGTTAAGCTCTGAGACTATGATTATTATGGCTACCGCAAATAAATTGCTTGGTACCAGACATGTTCGTACCTCATATTCCATCTCCCTAGCTTTCTTAATGAGTGCTTCCAATAGGTCTCCGCGTACATCTTTATGAACATTATATATGTATGCATGCGTCCTAATGAACAGATTACTTTACAAGAAGTTAGAACCTTAAAGAATAAAAAGAATAGGTTTTGTGAATAGTGAAGCAAGATTCAGCAGAACAATATAGTTAGGGATCAATGTAGGTAGTATGAACTGAAGGTAAGGTCGGTTGGCAGGACTTAGTGTACTAAATTATCATGACAGTCTTGTATATAGTAGACATCTGACATTGCAAAGTAACGTGTCTAAACATATTATAAAAAGATATTAACAGAACCAACAAAATTTCAGCATTTGTTTAACAATACTACAGAAGGGTAGTTAGTACTACAGGTAGTCGTAAAGTAAATCAATCTATGTATAATAAGAGCATAGTCAGTGTCATAATTCGTATTATCAAAGAATACATTAGGCTCAATAACTGAGTGTTATAAGGGAAACAAGCATGGTAAAGCAAGAGAACACTTGCCGCATAGCTATTTTAATCATTTTAAGTATTTTAATGACAATCGAATTTCAAGTATTGAACCTACATAATTACTAAGTGTTATTATATTGGTATTGGGACTAGTGTACTTTCCGTAGTTAAATATTGAAAAGCCATTGTCTCTCCACTCTACCAGCAGTTGAGATCTTTGAGGCGGGCTAGGGTGGACATGTTTATATGTTTTTCTAGGCTCCTTTTGAAACTGTCAGGCCTTTCACAGGATCTTATCTCAGAGGGTAGTTGGTTCCAAAGTTTGCAATATTTAATGGTGAAGAAGTTAGCTCTAGTGGTGAGTTTATGGGTGTTAACCTTGAGAAGGTAGTTGTGGTTGCGTAGTCCATACGATTTAGGATTAGCCCAGGTTATGGACGAGTTACTGTTACAGTGCTTTCTTATAACTTTGAATAAGAGAAATAAATTGCACTTCACTCTCCTTAACCATAAGGGCTCTAAGTCCAGTCGAATACATCTGTCAAGGTATTCTATTTGCTGACCATAGCCTAATATGCGTTTCGTAAGGAATCTTTGGACACTTTCAACTTTTTTCTGTCTGCCGACTTGAAGCTACTGTATAAGTGGGCACAGTATTCAAGTTTGGGGCGAATGCATATCTTATATATGGCTAATCTGGCTTCTGGAGTGTAAAAGTTGCGTAGCACAAAGCCGGTTAGACGTTTACAATCAGATACCACCTTATTTGCATGTTCAGTAAAGGTAAGATCTGAGTATGTTATCCCGAGATCTGTGACTGTGTTTGTGTTTGAGACAAGGTCACCGTACATGTATAGACACATGCTAGGTTTCCAACGTCCGAAGTATGTTATCCCAGATTTAGCTGGATTGAACGTTAACTGCCACTTTTCACTCCAATTACATAGACTATTTAGGTCTTCTTGGATTTTACTAACAATATTCATATCATTATAGTCAAAATCATAGACAACTTTGAGGTCATCTGCAAAGAGGTATGGCTTGCCATACTTGATCATAGAGACAATATCATTTATGAATACAATGAATAGGGTAGGGCCAAGAACACTACCTTGTATCACGCCGCTGGTTATCGGTTTGGATGTTGATAAGTGATGGTTGACTTTAACTAACTGTTCTCTTCCTGTAAGAAAGGAAGTTATCCACTCAAGAAGCCTTCCACTTATTCCATAAGATAGGAGTTTCAGTATGAGTCTTTTATGTGGGACTTTATCAAAAGCTTTCCTAACATCTAGAAATAATGTTGCTGCCGAACGACCTTTGTCTACACATTCAGTAATGTGGTCGAAATAATCTAACTGGCACGTAATGCACGATCTTCTATTTAGGAAACCGTATTGGAAAGGGGATATTAAGTCATTCGAGAGCAAATACTGAACAATTTGCTTCTTTACAATCTTTTCCATCACACGTGAAACTACGGAAGTAATGTTGATGGGGCGGTAATTATCTATGTCCGCTGTAGGTCCGGTTTTGTGAATGGGTACAACGTAGGATTTCTTCCAGCTATTTGGATATGTTCCACTCCTTATCGAAGTTGAAAATATCTTGAGAAGAAGTAGATTCATGTCATTTCCACCATTTTTTAAGAGGACGGAAGACATTCCATCTGGGCCGGGAGTATTAGTAAGCTTAAGAGTTGTGATAGCTTTATCGATTTCTTGGGCGTTTAAGACTACATCGCTTAGACACTTTTCTGTTTTACGAGGGAAATCTATATCCTGGTCATTTTCTAGAGTGTACAGTTTGGCAAAGTGCGTGCTAAACACCTCACATATATCCTCAGCACTTTCGTGAGTAATGCCACCTAGGTGTATTATTTTTGGATATGTTGATTTGGAGTTAGTTAACCTACTTTTGAAGAGTTTGGCTATTTCTCCAGTGTTATGTGGCGACTGAATTGCCCGCGTTTCTTTATTCCTAAGACTTAGATTTTTTAACTCATGGATTCTAATGAGGATTGATTTGATAGCGATTAACGACGATAAGTCGTCATGTCTATAGTAACTTAATGAATGCTTCCGCAAACTTCTTCTTAATGATATTGGAATAAAATCACCTTGAGGGATTTTGAATTTAATCAGTTTCACAGGCGCTATGACATCATTAACCGACTGTATATTGTCATAGAAGTTTTTAAGGACTTCCTCTAAGGAGTCATTGGTAAAGTAGGAATCCCAATTAGAGTATCTAATCAAGTCCTGATACAAGTCCCAATCAACCCGCGTGTATGG